TGGTGATTTGAAATTTTATATATTGGAATCGCGGAGCTACATTGAAACGCATTGGAGATGTTCCCTCACTGAGGGAATTCTTGATGAGAGATGAGATATCGTTAACGTATTGATAACTTGATTAAATCTTTCATTGTCGTTGCTTTGAAAAATTGTACGTTGACGAGGGATGATAACGTTTCAATTTGGCAAAGTATATATACTTGAAGAAATTTGTTGCGATTACTTTGTAATTTATAAATAAAAAAAGAAGGAACTAATCGAATATTCACACTTGCTTAAATACCAAATCGATAGTTCAAATTCCGCGCTGCACTTATCGTAAGTAAAACTTCCATCTAAAATTAAAAAGGAAACGAAAGAAATCCTCTAAATCGTCCTCATAATCCGCCTAAAATGCAGGTATTACAAACTCAATCTCGTGGATTAGTCAGTCAAATCGAGCACTCGTCCTGCATAAAAATCACCTTCCCTATTAAACGCTTCCTAAATCTCTCTTTCAATCGATTTCACGCGGGTGAAAGGAAAGCAAGAAAGAAAGAAAGAAAGAAAGAAAGAAAGAAAGAGAGAAAAAGGAGGAAAAAAAAACCGTGGTCTCGGTATCGTGAAAAGCGTCCCGATGTAACCTCCTCCTCTCCCTCCCCCTCCACACCCCCCATAGCGGACGTTGCACCCGTTGTAAAGACAGGAAGCGTGAAAGGAACCGATGAAAGAGGAGGGGGACAGAGAGAGAAAGAGAGAGAGAGAGAGAGAGAGAGAGAGAGAGGGCGACGGCGAAGTCAGGGGTAAGATCATTAGCATCCGTTCGGGTGGAAGAGGAGTGTATCCCAGGGGGTAGGAGAGATAGAGGTAACGTCCGATCGTCGGCGGCACGCCACAGGGAAAACAGAGAGGAGGAAGGGTCCCGTGGCCGCGTTGGCGAAGGCAATCCCGTCGGGACGGAGAAGTTTTACGCGGAGATTATCAGGAAGCGGAGCGGACGCCCATGAATACGGAGATCCTGGCGATAAAAGGACGAGAAAGAAAAAAAAAGAAAAAGAAAAAGGAGAAGGAGGAAAGAGAAAGAGGGAAGGGAGAGGAAAGAGGAAGATGGAGAGGGGGGGAGGGAAAAAAAAGAGAAGAAGGAAGAGGAGGAAGGGCAAAAAGAAAAACACGTTGGAAAGGTGGGAGGTAGGTAGAAAGGCGACGAGAGGGAGGAAGATGGAAGAAGAAGGGGAGAAAGACAGAGGGCCAGAGGCAGTAGGGAAAGAGTTGGTAACCCAGTGCCGGCAGGAGAGTGGCGGAGCAATGTAGTCGACCACGAATGAGCGTACCAACGGATGGAGAGGCAACACTTTGTAGTTTTAATCGATCCGGTGGGACGGGGCAGAAAGACGGAGCACCCCCGTGCAGCACGGAGAGGGTGAGTCGGCATGTGCGGCAAGGAGCGCGAGGGAGGGTGAGGGAGAAGCACGGGCGAAGCGGCTGAGAGGAAGGCCGAATGCGGGACGAGGAGGGTGGCTATCGGCGGAAGAAGGACGTGGCGAAGTGGCCGAGCGACGAGGAAGACGGTGGTGGAAGTGGGATGGAAGGAATACCCGGAGAGAGAGTAGAGACCCACATCCTGCCGGCTCCTACAACTTCAACCACCAGCTGGGATACACCTCCTGCCTCCACGGGGGCGAGTTATATGTGAAAAGCACGTGGACCCTCGGGTGGAAGAAGGACGGGAGGATTCATTCATTTCCTCGTATATTTCCTGGAAAAGATACGCGCGTACTTTCGTCAATGTCGTGTGCGGGGTTCGAGGGATGGAGGAACAGGTGGAAGGTCGGGTTTCTTTGGGAATATTAGGTCGCTCCGTTTAACGGGGTTTGGGGTGTCGTGCGAGGTGTATTTCGAAGAGAGAATTTTCACTTGAAAGAGAATTGTTCTTCTATTACGTCAGAATTTTGTTGAAGGATTATTTTATTGCTAAAATTTGGAATGATTGATTTTCAATTTGTTAATCATTTTCTCACGATACTTTTGCTTTTGAATAGATACTGTCTTCGGTAGATGATTGATATTTGACGATTAACTATATCGAATTTATCGTATTAACGACGAATCCTCAAACTTACGCTTGATATCTGTAAAATTTTACGATACTCGTAGCAATCGATAATAAAGAAAGATACTGTGACAAAAAATAGTAATCGTTATCGATTTATCTTGATCGGATAATTTCGATTCGAAGATGGCCGAATCGAAGGGTTCTCATTAGGAATTACGAGACCTAATCAGCGGTTTCACGATCGATATCAGCATTATGGCGAGCGTGGGGCAGTAATAAAGAAGTACAATAATTTACTGTTAGCTAGCGTGACCAACATAGGCGGTAGGCTGGAAGAGGAGCGAAGAACTGGAAGAACTCCGGTATCTTCGGGCGATGTTTCAGCCGAAATGTATTTGTAGCGGAGGACGCGCCTCCAAGGGTCGAATCACGACAGAATATTGTCGAGGTCGATGTTGGAGAAATTGAGGGGAGAACATTAAAACACCGAGGGTGCGGACAGTAATAGTGGCGCCGACGAGGGTAGCTCGTCGCTCAAAAGGGGTAAAATTTGGACTTAATAAAGGCTGCGTAGTAACGAAACACACAGTTATATTTACATGAAATTCACCGTTCAGGAATATTTTCACGCGTAGATGGGTCGTAGAAAAGCAATAAAAGAATCATATAAAAAATCATTATATATCTCTTATCGAACAATAAAATTTTACCAACGAATGAAAGACAAGAAAGAATATTTTCTCGTGAAAAAAAAAATTAATTTCAGAAGGACGATCTCGTCGCGACAGATGGCGAAAATAATCAACTTGTAAGTATTGTACAGGCGGGATCAAAGATAAGATGCGAAAATCACGCGTAATATATTCACGAAACGACTATACTCGTCCGGAGCAATACTGTGAGCAAATAGAAAAAAAAAAAAATTTCGAAAGATTTACATCCTATGGAAAGCGTAATACTTTAGATTCGTCTACCAGATTGACGCATTTTAATGCGTCATATTTCTTTTCTAACTCGACGCGATCACGATGAAAATTCAAACCTCACGTTATTTCATTCGTTTCGTGTGTAGGAATAAAGAGGAATCATTTCGTTCCCTATTTTTTTTCCGATGGTTCATCATCAAACCGATCGTTCTTCCTCGATACATATTTCGTCGAGGTGACGATAGTAACGAACGCAAAAGGGTTTTAATGATGATACAAGGTTGGCGTGTAAAGTATCTTAAATTGGGTAATTTCGTGGTGTACGCACCTGTCAGTTAACGAGACTCGGACGAAATTCTTGAATTCGTCTTGCAGCTTGGAACAAAGGTTGAAACTGGGAACCGTTATTCGGATCGAGGGAGGAGGAGGGGCAGAACGAAACGAAAATGGCGCGTTATCGGTTCGTAGCGTTGCAATTACCAGCCACGGGGTTCATCGCGCCCCTGAAGATAAATGAGACAGTGGATCAACGTCGACGAACTCCGACTTCTGTGTACGACGATTTATCAAAATTAATGACCACCGAGGCCTATCGGACCGACAGACCGTATATGTAATTGGGATACGTATGTGACTACCAATTGATAGATACTTGAGGAATATGGACAATTCGTGAGAAATAATTTTTGGTAAATGTAGAAATTATACGCAAAAGATTTCTCGAAGATTTGTAAAAGAGCAGGAAGTTTTAATTCTCGAATGAATAAATTGGTGTTTATCTCTATAAATATTTTAAATTCCCAGTCTGATTAAAGTGTTTGGACAAAAGAATTTTTTACTGTGTTCACAAATATTTAAAATACAAAGAAAGAGAGAGAGAGAGAGAGAGAGAGAGAGAGAGAGAGAGAGAAATAAAATAGAATACTTTATAATGTACTTATAAAATCCAAGTTCATCATCCAAAGTATTCTTTTCGTTTACAAGTATCACTGAAACTTGAGTCAAAGTATCAACTACTTATTGTATTCGACAAATGGAGCAGAAAAGAGGCATATCGAATTACATGGACTCCAAGTTCGCTTACACGAAACATGATACGACATCTCAAATTACATGGACACCGAATTCACTTAAATCCAGTCCAAGTGCCATTTTTTCTCCGCCATTTTAACCGATATGAGAGCCGATATCTTCACGATCGTTTGCCCAAAAAAATACTTAAAAATCCAATCGAAACGCGATAAAATAATCTAATTCCAAAACACTTGGACCCCAAATTCACCTAATTCCATTCCACGCGCCATTTTTTCTTCCCCTTTCTAAATCTCACAGGATCTACGCAGAATCACCCTCGATAACCTCCAAACTCACCTTCCCCTTCCAAAATCGGCAAGCAAAAATGGAAAGAGAACGATTCAATACCGATCACCGTCTTCCAACTCTTACCAATTGTCCATTCCCTTCGAAACGAACTCGGCAGAAGACGAGGAAAAAAAATAATCCTATCCGTCCTCCCGATCCTTAAAATCACATCGTTAAGAAGCGGTGTCAACCGGTGTCCCCTTGCGCCGTGAAGACCGGTGGGTGACGGAGAGATCGGGGTCCTTGGCGGCAATCGCTCCTCCCGGGCATCCCCGGCGAAGTACTCTTCAGCCCCGTCGGGCTGATTTGCATCACGGTTACGAGCTCGTTCGAGCTCGTGGTGGTTATATTACAGAGCGAGGGAGAGAGGGCAGCAGGATGGAAAAAGGGGGACAGAAGAGCGCGCGGGTCCCTCTCGCTTGCCGCGTTCCACCCCCAAAGCAGCTCGCTGGAGGCAGCTCGGACACTCATAACAATCATAACAACGGGATCCCGCGAGTAACTCGCGGACCACCTCCGCGCATCGGGACCGCCCTCCGGACCGCCCACGTTACCCCTACCAACGGCAGCCAGCATTGGCTGGCGGCTAGGCGGGAGAGAAGCCACGGCGGGTTGCCTTCCCTCGGCTCAACAGCGGGGCCACTACGCAGCCAGACTGCGGACCGTCAGGATTCAGGTCCAAGTTTTCGCGCCGAGCTTCGACCGCGCAACGTGCACACCACGCTGCCACCGACACGAGGGCAGAGGGGATCCGATTGTCCAGCCAACGTTCGACCAATCCATCGATCGTCGTTCACCGGATCACCGATCGATTTTAAGGATCCGTCGATCGAGAGTCCACCACCGGCCCACCATCGGTAGCGAGCATTCGAAACGGATCTTGGTGCGAGTGAGAAACGACGCGGAGGGATCTCGCTGGTCGGGATAACGGGATGTAAAGTAGAGAGGAATAACGAAAAGTGGAGGAAGTTGAACAAGTGAAACGCGACGACTGTGATCGGCAAGTGTGCGAGTTCGAGAGTGATCAGGGAATCAGAGCGTAGAGGTGCGTGCGCCAGTCGGCACGTGGACGCACCAAAGGAACACGTTATATATATGTATATATATACACACACACATACACATATATACATATACATATATACATATAGAGACACGCATTCCTGACTGTTGGTCGTTCGATCAACACGGTAACAGTGAAGCGACGAAACGGCTGTGACGCGTCCAGTGGAATAAGTGTCCATTGTCCGACCGCTACGTGCATAGACTACTGGTGTGCGTCCGGATCGATTGACCCGTGGGGTTCGGCGAAGAGGACTCATTCCACTGGCTTATTTCGGTGGACTCGGCGAGTGAATTACGAGGGGCCAAGGGTTCACGTGTACGCTCGAAGACTGTCGAAAATATATTATCGCGAGGGCCACGTGCGGGAGGCACTAAACGTGGCAGGTGCTACGGACAGGTGGTGGCCGAGTTAATTGCACGGCAATAAACGTAGACATTCTGCGAAAGATTGATCAACGGCCTCTATCTACCTATCTACCTACCTCTCTTTGCGTGTACATGGTGCGTACGTGTACGGTGTGCTCTGGCCAATTGCAGGGAGAAGGAGCTCGGTATCATCCACGGCCTCTAACGACTCCGCCGCGTCGGTTCTGCGATAAAAGTGACCACTACACAAGGACTTCTCCGGACTTCTAACAAACTCCTAATTATCGCTGCGGGTAATTGCGACACGCACGTGACCGTCGTCTCTCTCGGCCGTGTTCCCCGGCGTGGAATCGCGCGCGATAACCACGCTCGACGCGCACATCGCCTGACAAATAGAATAATTAAAATCACATTAAAGGAACGCTCGTGTTCGCGCACCGACTCGCGCGTTATCTCGAACGAACTCGCGTTGCCGGATATTTCACGGATTTATAAAATTGTTTCGGTTGTGGCAGTTATCACGGATTATTACGACGGATGGACGGATAAAACGTGAGTTTTTTTTTTTTTTTCCAATCGTGAGTTAATAACGAGAAGGTGTATATATAATACCAGTTTCTAGAGTTGGAATTCCTTCCGGGTGGCAGGAACGATCGAAGAAACGAGAGGAGAAGGAATCGACGACGCATATTATCGGGATCGCGGGCAATTAACTGTTTGCTTCTTAATCGCTCCTAATTACTCACAATTACCCGGCGTAATTAAGTAGGCTGATGTCACCGGCGGTCGATGTATTTGTGAATCGTTTGTCCGTCGACGTCGGTCCACCGTCGCCATCCGGGCTGTTGCCTGTCGTCGTCGCTGCTCGTTGGAAAATTACCGGGGGATCGTGAAAAAGGGGAAAGAGGAAGGTGAGCGCGGCGAGAGATCGAGCGGTAGAGGGCCGCTTCGGAGAGTTCGAATCGTTCGTGTTTTGGATCGGAGGAAAGAAAAGAAAAAAGAGAAAAAAAAGGAAAGGGAACGATCCGAAGGGAAGATCGATCGAAAGGGAGACAGAGGTCGGACTCGGTCGGATTGGGGGAAGGACGAAGATACTCGGAGAGGCGTTCGTTCGAGCAGGTGGCATCGAGGTGAATAAATATAGCAAGAAGTCGAGAGTACCCGCGTCAGGACGACGTCCCACGTACAACAATCACAGGTCGCTTCAGGTGAGTTTCGCATTTCAAACTTTTCGTTCATTCATATTGAAACAGGAAAATAAATAGGATAACGGAATAATAATTAGACGAGCTGTCGCCGCCTGTTTTTCGAAGTTCCCATCGGATGGAATATCGACGAGTAATGTTCGGGTAAAAGTTTCTCGGAAGGAGTAATTATTTACAGAGATTGGAAACAGATTATTCGTAACAGTTTATTCGACTTCGAGATGAAAAAGAAAAATTTCTTTCGTAAGATTAATATTACAGATAAATCGGCGAGATCTCTCCCCGATTACGATTTAATCCCTAATAGAAAAGGTATATATAATCGGTGTTGGTAATTGATGGTAGTCGAAAGGGAAGGGAATAATATATTTCCATCAAAATTCGGTTCGGTCGATCCAGCCGTGTATTTATATCTGGCCAGGCAATTGCGAGGCTCGCGAGCGATAATCGTTGCCCCGATAGCATGAAGTTAATCTCTGTAATTAAGAAAGTTACTCGGGGGCCTGGCCACGCGGGAATGTCGGCTAGCGAGAGATTGAAACAGGCGCTGGGTTGTATCCGCGTTGGGTTCGCCCTCGAGTGCCCGGTGATAATTCCCCGCGGCTACTTAGCTGCGTTCTAATAATTAAGGTGATAATTATGCTCGATCGCGTACACGTCTGTGTCCGGTGCGAGTTGAAAATGCTAATTAAAAGATCGACCAGATATACGTATACGCAACGGGTCGTGATTTTTTAACCTTCGATTCGTTTCCAGCCGTGTTCCCTAATTTTGAATTAGTTTCGAACGCAGGAGTCGATAGTTAATAGTTATTTTGTCATTCGATTCCATTTGTCCAGATTCTTCTTTTCGCACGATTTTGGCAAATCGACACATATTTGTGACGTGAAAATAATAGTGGAAAAATGGGAGGAAGCTAAGCGAAAGATTTCTGCTAGGAAAAATTATTCTATATTTTCGTTAAAAGGTATAGCGTGTGAAGAAAAAGTGTAGTAGTAAAAAATGTAGTACAAGTGTGTATATGAAGGATTCGTTGAATTTTTTTAGTTATAAGGTTTTTCTTTATCATTCATGGAAAAATATAGTAGAAAAATAGTGGAATTTGTGTGTAGAATTTTTTGGAAAAAAAGTTTTCTTGTTAGAGAAAGAAAAAAAATTCAATTATTTTTCATCGACAGATATAGCGTATTATGACATTTTTAATAAGAGGAAGTTTCTCGCTAACAGGAAAATTCTATTATTTTTTTTATCGAGAGGATTCCCTGATTTCTCGTCGTAATTCTTGTTTAGACTTCAATTATAATGTTCAGCGGTTTCGAGCATAAAATTCTACCGGATGTCGTTTATTTTTATCTTCTTTCGACCACCTTGTAATAAAAATGTCAAAATGAAGTTTTCCTTCCAAACAAAAAGTAAATGTAGACATATCTAAATTCTTCTCATAATTTATCACCTCGTTCCCCTCTATGGAATAACGTATTATTTCTCTCTAAAAAAAAAAAAAAAGAACAAAAATCATCTTAAGAAGTGTAAAAAAAAAAAAATCCATAAAATCCAAAGTATCGCGAAAAAATCCTCAAAATTCTTATCCAACTTCTTTCTCGATATTCTTCGAAAAACAGAAAAAAAAAAAAAAAGAAAAAAAATTCATCCAACATCGATCAAAAACGCAAAGCACAAAATTTTCAAAGTTCTCTAAATCTCTCTCTCTCTCTCTCTCTCTCTCTCTCTCTCGACACGTTTATCGTTTCAAAGAAAACGCAAAATAAAAAATAAAAACACACGGCAAAATAACGAACGATATAACTGCAAAGTATCCAATCGTCATCGAAACATCACTTTCACCCTTGAAACAAAAATCCAAACACTGGAATGGAAAATGGAGTGAAAAAAAAAAAAAAAAAAAAAANTAACGTCATCGCGGGGCTCTAAACCTCGACTACCATCGATGAACGCGGCGCGCAACCTCTTCATTACACCAATTCGATGACTGCCCTCCTCCCTCTCCCGCCTCCCCCCCTTCCCCCCTCCCTCTCCACCCGTGGCGCGAACGTGCAACCACCCTCCTCCCTGCTGTGTGAAAAAGAGGCCGGTGTACCGCGCGCGGTGGACCATCGAAATCATCGGCGGAATGATCCGGCCGTTGTTGCGCGTACGCTGGTTCCGAAGTGCGTGTCCGAACACGCATGCACTCGTCATGAATCGAGTTAACCCCGGGCGCGCATACGCGCGCGCCACATATTTTCGATGAAATGACACCGTCAGCGAGGGACGAGGCGCGTACATATACCGACACGGGCCATGTGATCGGAGCGGAGAGGTAAACAGGAGCACGTGTTGGCAGCGTGACTGCGAGAGTGACGCCGCGGGGGTTGAGGCGAAGAAGTGGTGGATGGAGGAAGAGAGCGAAAGGTGGGCGAAGGGTGGTTGAGGAGTGGTTGCGCGGGGGGAGGGGGGAGGGGAAGGGCGTCGAGGGTGGAAAATGGGTGCGAGCAACCGAGGGGAGGAGAGTAAGGAGAGAGTTCTTTGCTTGCCGCCTCGGGACCATGGGCGAGCCTGAGTTGAAAGAGGAGCGGCGGGGCGAAGGGAGGAGAGAGGGCCAGCGCTTTGCCCGGCGAGAGGCAGGCGGAGAGGATGGGAGGAGTGAGGGGAAAGAGGGTGGAAAGTGGCGGTTGATGGAGAGTCGAAGGCGGAAAATCCCAAAGGAAACCACTCGACTCGCGATATCGTTGGGAGGGTGGTGGTGGTTCTACACCGGGGAAAGAAAATCAAAGCTTTTCTTATCTGTCGTTGGATTCTTTTCTGGTGTTTCGCTTCGCGATTTCAGCGAAGGGAAATTGAAAGGGAACGGTTGGAAATTGTTTCTCTTGGCTTTGGATTTTTGGCACGTGTCGAGCGAGGGATGTTTTTCTTGGGTAATTTAGGTGGACGCGTATGAATATATAAATTTCTTCGTTTTAACATTGAATATTTTTATCTTCAGGACTCGGATATATAGGGAGATTTACTTGCTCCTCTACGTTTCGTGAATGAATTTTTCTACAAAAATTAAATTTCTGAAACTCTATTATCGATTGAAACACGAGTATCAATAAAATATGAATAAACATTTTTAACATACTCGACGTTAATTATACGAAAAATATTGTACGTACGTATTTTTAATAATCACGAAAATATTATTATTTTACCGATTCTAACGAGTGACAATTTGTTTTCGAAATTATCATTTTTCCAGATAGATACCATGTGTTTGATAAAAAATAATACTCGAACGGAAGAGAGACGGATTAATATTTAAAACGATATTCAAAAGAGAAACTACGAAATGGATACCACGAAGGAACGGGATTTCTTTTCATCAGGGGAAAAAAAAGAGGGGAAAGAAAAGAAAAAAAAAAAAAAAAAGAAACGCGAAAGTATGAATAAACGGTTGGCCGGTGAGTAATAGAGAGAACGCGGATATTGTCCAGGTCAAGAAAAGTAATCGATGCTCTCTCTCTCCCCCTTCTTAAATCCTTGCACATTTCTCCTCGTTCCTCCACCGTTCAATCCTCGCTCTCTGTCTCGCCTTCTCCCTCTCGGCTCGTCAACCCCCGTTTCCAGCCCCATTCAAGCTCCCTTTTAGCCGATTCAACCCCTGCCGACGATCCGCCGCGCGATAACGTTTCGCTCGACAACTTACCCACTTCCAGGCTCGCTTTGTAGCCTTGCTTCTCTATTTTCCATCCGACGCCCTCCATCGATTATCGACTCACGGAATCATCGCTGGTGTAAGCAAGTTACACGCCGCCGCAACCGTCTTCGAGCGTCAAATGTGAATCGAGTGTTTCCCACAGTTTCGTGCTCGAGCGCGATATCGCGTATTAAACGGCCGACACGTCTACTTAAGTCTCGATCGAGTAATCTTTCTTCTTTTTTCTTCTTTTTTTTTTTTTTTTTCCTCTCTCCATTTGGAAAATTGAAATTTTTTTCTTTCCTCGATACGAACTCGAACGTTTCGGCATCGATCTGTTTTCCTTGAATTATTTCGACGATGTAGTATGATTTTAGAAGGATAATTTATAGATACGTTGGATATTATTTCGGTTGGTTATATCTATAATTCGGCGAAGTCAATTTATAAACGATAAATATTATTAGTCTCGTTTCGGATTAAAGATTCAGATTCGAATCTATTTATCGATTCGATGTTTAATCTTCTTAGCGGATGAATATCCAATTTGATCCAAGTTTTCAAGAGTTTCTTGGATCGATGACTATTTATATGTCATCGGTGCATATGAAGCTTCGATGTCTCGGGGATTGCTATATATCGTTTCGTTTTTATCACTCGTCTTTTTTTTATACCAGTATCATTGAAATTTTTATCCCAACAAATTTCTATTTCACGAAAAATTCGTATCGTTGAAAACGAATCAAAGATTAACGTCTCCATGAGTAATTTGAATTATCGAGAAGAAATTCCATTTTCTTCGAAATAATTTTATTTATTTATTTTTTCTTTTTTTTTTGAAACAAATTTAAACGTATTAAATTTTAATTCGATACATAATCATTTTATCAATTCTCTTTATCTCATTCTCCTCGAACTTCGACGCACAGTTTAACCAATCCACTTTTTGCGATTCGTCCAAGAAATAAGCACGTTTTAACCAAGTGGTTTTCTCGGGAAGAAAAGAAGAAAAGAAGACGAGGGTGAAGAGGATGGAAGCGATAAGAAACGGAACCCTTTCGCGGTTCGAGCTCTTTTCTATCCCATTGAGGGATAAATCCTCGTGCGAAGCAATTGGACGACGTGACGCCCCATAGCGCGAGGCGATGCGTGAGGTGTCATTAATTCTAATAATTCATAAAGAAGCACGCACGTGCGTAACGGGACGGGTGCACGCCGAGGGACAAGCGTGATGCCGCGGCACGAGTGTTTTTTGTACGCTCGATGCTCCTAATAGACCTAATTTGCGTGTAAAAGCGCTCCCGAGATTTCCGTGCCTCGTTGCCCT